ATTAAAGCTAAACTCCATCTTGCTGTGTCGAACTGATATCTCTCTCCCCAAGAGGCAGGCTTTCCCTCTGCATGCATTCCAGAATGCTTGTGCTGGGTCCCTGCAATTCATGTCTTCTTACCACGCTGTGCTCCAAAGTGGAAGCAAATAGTTGATTGCGATGATGGGCAAGGGGAAAGATTGCTCATACAGGGAATGAATGAAATCTTTTCAGTGAAGACATCCTACGACCCTTTCAAAGCTGATCCTATGAGTTGCCTTGATGGAGATTCCTACTGAGTGACTGGTTATGTTTTTTAAAATATGTTATTTTTAAAATTGTGTATGTTTGTGTGTGTGTGTGTGTGTGTCTGAAACAGCCAGGCCAGTCTGAATCTATCAGTCTTTCTTGCATTTGTTTGTTTCTTCTACGCAGTTAGGTTCATGATTTTTAGGATTTCTTCCCCCTAAATCACTGGGGGATTAGGATGCTGAATGCCTTCCTTTTCAGGGTAGGGAAAAAAAATCTGAAGTTCAAAAATCTGAATGTGGGAGAAAGTTAAATTGACAGATTTTCTCATTTGTAATAGGGATTGTGTAAATGGGACTGTTAAATGCAGTAGGACCCCGATAACTGAGGGATCAATATACACAGTTTCACTTATTCATGATCTGAATATATTAAAAAAAAACCTATAAATACATATTTTCATTACGTGTGTACCAGAAATTGGCCACTAGAGGGAGACAGAGACCAAGCTGTGTATTCTTGTTGTTAAAGAATATAAAGCATGATCTCTGGCTCCCTCTAGCAACTAGTTCTGGTAACACATGGTGATAATACTTTTTTGTCTGGATTTTTTTTTTTACTCTGCTATGTTTAGCGCTCACTGTTATCTGTCCAGTTCTGGTAACACATGGTGAAAATACTTTTTTGTCTGGATTTTTTTTTTACTATGCTATGTTTAGCGCTCACTGTTATCTGTGGTTTTCAGCATCCACGGGCGGGGGGCTTGGAACCAATACATCACAAATATGGGGATCCTACTGTATTACAGGTCAGGGCAAAGGTGGGAAGAATCTCCCCCTTCTACCAGTCCCTTTCTGTTTGAATAAGGGACACAACAAATAAACAACACTCAAGAGCAAAAAGGTGAGTACATTTTTAATCACTGGTAGCAAAAAATATATTTAAAATATATTTTATGTAAAGTACCACACCTTTTTTTTAAATAATAAAAATACAGTTCTGCAAAGTTTTAGGAAAAAAGGCCCGATATGCAATGAAACGGTCAAAAATTCTCGTAATCCTGCCCATCAGAAAAGGGGAAAAACTGAATATACTTGTCCTTACCTTCGAGAACAAACTAAAGAAAGACTAACATCTAGGAGCCCCAGTCATAAATGGATCTGGCACATAGCTATATCATGTGTTAAAATAAAACAAACAGACAAAAACAAACAGATAAAAATGGGACTATGTAACACACAATTAAAGGAAACCACATGAACCGAAGGAACCAAAGGCATTCTTAAACATGACTATCTTCATTGTTCATAGCAATGGCAGGACCAAGCAGAAATTTCCAACATCCATGGTCCTGTCTCTCATGTCTATCTCTTGACCACCTGATGGTGCAGGTTATCTGATGTGAACATTAGCTTGGGGTAGGGTCCCATGGGGGGGGGATACACTTCCTCAGG